GAAAGGAAGGAAACGGAGGGCTTTGATTGGTACATTTTCTTATGCATTACGTGTTATGCGTTATGCAAGAGTCTGTGCTCCCCGCTTTACTGCCTTAAGTTTTTTGTGTGCCCTAATCCCTAATCGATAGTTAACTTCAATCATCACGATGATACGATTGCCAACATGAAAATTATATAAACACAGAAGAGGAAGAGAGAAGAGACGTTCTGGGCCTCTATTCTTGAAAAGTATCGCATGCGAAAAACTAGGGAAATGCTGTAGTGGCTGCGTTCGGAAACGTCGGATGCCTCGAATTCATCAGTTGTCCTCGTTTAACATTTAATGTTAAAGAAGGACAGATGACGAACTGCGACATCGGAGGCATCCGAGCGACGTTTCCGAACGCAGCTAGTATGTTACGTAACGCATACTATAGTATTTCCCTACTTTTTCGTATATGATATTTTTCAAGAATAGGGGCCCTAATACATTAAACTGCTGTTGGTACTTCTGCAAGTTAATCCGGTTAATTGTCGATTAATTTAAACTAGAAGTTGGTGAAAGAAGTCCTTAAGCTCCTCGTGTTTAGCCTGAATCCTCATGCAGGCACCGGTGCTTTTACACCGGTGCCTGCATGAGTGATTGGATGAGTGATTGGATGATGGGAGTAATTTTATTTCCATAATCGGTTTTTCACCAATCAGTACTCGGTGTCAAAGTACCGATGTCTGCAAATGTTTGCATGACGATTCAAGCTATTATACGTTTCCAAAAATTTTCTGAAAATTAATCAAATATATCAGGTATATATAGTTGATGATTCTGTTGACTAATATTCTTTATATTCTTTAAAATCGCATAACTCGCACTTTTAATTTAACTTCTAATCTGATGCCCTTCAAAACATCACAATAGGCGCAATACCGCAACACCGCTAGATTTCCCGCAGAAACAGCGTGCATGTATTACAAAAAGCGCTCTCGCTAACAACAATACCGATGAGGCACTATTAAGGGTCTACAATGAGCAATAGCAATAGTGGTAAGGCTGTAGGACACATCGGGAGTAAGCTGATTTTCGGCGTTGTCTACAATATACGAAGTAAAGCTTGGTTTAAGAAGTAAGAGTAAGAAATTGACCAATCACAGTCGATTATCTTTTTCACAATCGACTGTAATTGGTCAATTTCTTACTCTTACTTCTTAAACTAAGCTTACTACGTGTATTGTAGATGGACCTTTCTAATATAATAGGGCGTAAAGTAAGTTTGTAAGTGAATGGTTGAAATCTATTTCCTACATTCTACTCTCTTGTTTGCTTACGGATTTACTCTATGTTCTGTTATACCGGAAAATCAACTTACTCTCGATGTGTCTTACAATCTTACCATTACTGCTACTACTGTCTATTGTAGACGACGCTTTACCCCGGATCTACAATAGGTGTTTTAAGCCTTAAGTTATAAGAAATTGACCAATTATAGTCGAATTCGAGGAGAATAATCGACTATGATTCGTCCATTTCTTGTGGCTTAAAACTTAACACTCTATTGTAGATCCGAGGTTATGCGGGGTCTACAATATATGACGTCTACAATGAACAGTAGCAGTAGAGATTGTAACCATGTCGGGAGTAAGCTGGTTTTTCAGCTAAGCCATTAATGGTTAATCGATGAACGTCAAATTGACTAACCATTAATGTGTGTGGCTTACAATTAACTGAAAAACCAGCTTACTCCCGACATATTTACAATCTCTAGTGCTACTGTTCATTGTAGGCGTATTATGCGGGGTCTACAATAGGGCTGCGTTCAGGAATTACGTTTGGATAACTTTAGGATACATTTTTGCTATAAATATACGTAACGTAACCTATAGCTTAGAGTTATCTATCTGGGCGTAATTCCTGAACGCAACCTAGAAGTCATAGCGGTTATAGAGTCTTAAGTTGTAGAAAACTGACCAATCACAATCGAATATGAGAAAAATAATCGACTATGATTGGTTAATTTTCTACGACTTAATTTACGATCGCTACGATTTCTATTGTAGACTCCGCATTGAAGATCGTTGATCTTATGGAAGTCAGCGTACATCGTATATATGTTAATAACCGCAAATTTATATCAATTGTCGGTAATATCAATTCTTTTTTTAAGGGCTTCCTTGCTCTTTTAGTAGAAGAAAATCAATCCAAGATTGACGGTTTTTAAAGAATTATTTATATGTCGTAATTAAACTGTTAACTTATACCGTAAGCTATTTATATAAGAAATTGATCACAATTGAATGTAAAGAGAATGAAGTTGATTCTTCTTCTTCTTCTTCTTCTTCTTCTTCCCCTGAATGGCTTTTCGATCTCTCCAATAAAGGTCAAAGTGCCAGAATATTAGATTGATCCGTAGATCAAGCTAGAGCCTCTTCGCGGAGCAGAGATTATTCTTCTCACATTCGACTGCAGTGAATGGTCAATTTTTACAACTTAGAGAGCGTTTATACTGGCTGTAACATATGCCGTAATCTATAAGAATTGACTAATCACAGTCGAGTATTCTCTACTTACAGTCGAATGAGAAGGGAATACTGTGATTAGTCAATTCTTATAGATTACGGCATACGGTTACAATTAGTATAAACGCTCTCTTACGACACAAATTAACAATTTATGGCCGATATAAACGACCTTTAGGGTTGGTTTATAATAGACCGTAATCTGTTAATTTTTTCCGTAATCTGTAAGAATTGACCAATCATAGTCGATTATTCTTCTCTCATTCGACTGTGATTATAAACCTATTATAAACAACTATTATAAGTCTATTATAAACCAACCCTAAAGCAGATTATAATATTTTCGTAAGATAGGTATGTAGCAACACTCGGGCCTGTATTTAGAACGCGCTTTTATCTCTGAAATTCTATAATATCCGTAACGTAAAGTATAATATTTTAGCACGCTATAACATTGTTGTAAGCGTGTTCTGAATACGGGCTTCGGAATAATATTAAAGTGCATACATATTATCACTGTGTTCTAATTTTAAAAAAACGAGACTTTAAAGAACGATATTTTTCTTTAATTCTTAATATGTGTTTTAGATACGCATGTGGTTTGGGTTGCCTTCTCTTTTTGTTTTTTATTTATTTCCCTTAATTGCTTGAATTGTTAAATGTAGAGGTAATACACGCAAAAGAAGTACATTCTCCTTTTTTCCCCTGTATATTTTATAAATTGCATTTGCTTCCATTGCAAAAACTTACCTAATAGCAATATATGCGAATATTTTTGTTTTCATCAGTTGTGAAAATCTCGTTTTAACTCGTGAAACGTACGAGCAGAACACATGCTTGCCGGCATGCAATCGTCCAATGAATCTCGTTAAGAGACAAGTGATTCCAATGTGCGTGTTACAGTCGTATCACTACATACAATTTATAAAAGCAACTCTGTAAACAGTTTAATCTTCAAGATTTTATTTTTGTATGTATCCCTCCAGTTATCTACTAATCATCTATAGTATTTATATCTTCGTCTTCTTCAGTGTAGATTTTTAACACGAAGTTACAACGTCATGACTATTCTTCATGTTTTAAATTGTCTATAATACTTTATGAACCGTCGTTACATCATTCGCGGAAATTTTCGATTTCACAACTCATACATGAGATGTACGTGCGCAACACTACGAGTAATACAAAAAATGCATCGCTAATATGAATTAATGTAATGACATCTGATTTTATTATA